CGCGCAAGGGGGATGATCGCACCACGTTGTGTTAAAATGGTCAAGCGACCTCGAGGTAGTGACACAGTACTTACAACTGTCTCTGGAAGTCATGCACCAGAAAACAAATGTAAGTCATCCGCAGCTGTCATCCGTATGCAAGGAAGTAAGCACGAGATGCCGACCACCCATAGCAGGATGCAGCGCACCCTTCATGCGACTTGCCGAATACCTCACGGCGCTTCGCGCTTGGTGATGTGAGAGCCTGGTCCGGTGAGAACCCGGCGTGCTCCGTCCCGGCTTTGTAGGGATGCGAGGTCANTTCTCGTCCTATCCGCGCGCCTCACCAGGGCCTGCGCTCCCATGTACCGCTGGTACGCCGTGACTATTTCTTCCCGGCACTCATCCGTCCTCGCTCCCCTCAGCAGGCTCTCCAGCCGCGCGTGCGTGTGTGCGGCGATCTTGGTCTCGGCATCGATCTGCGCTTGGCCGGCGGTCATGGAGCCCTCCAGGGTTGCCTGCGCCCCGCGTCGGAAAAAAGGGCGTGTGCTATCGCGTTCAAGTACATCTAGCTATAGTAACCCGTGGCGTTTGATTTCGGGTGGGGTGCCTCGTCCGCATGCCGGCTCGGGTGTTAGTATTTCCCAGAAGGAGTTAACGGGTCTCAGTGTGCTCAACCGCCCCGGAGTGGATTTCTTGAAGGAAGGGTTGGGGATCAACAAGCGGGTCTTCCGCTGAGCACCGCGACCCGCCGCGTGCAGTACCATCTCCGATCGCACCTACGGAAGATGTATTTGAACGACTACTGCTCTGAACCTGGTACACGGCTACCCATGTAGTAGGGGATCGCAGGGGGGGGGGGGGGGGGGGGGGGGGTACTCGTGTAAAAACAAAGTGCCGTAGTCGTCACATCACTGACTTCGCATGCCTACCATGCCGGGAGTAATCAGAAGGAGAGTAGTCTACCGCTACATACCTCGAAGGACGGGTCGACTCCGTCATAGTCACGGGCCGGTTTGTTCTTCATGTTTTCGAAAGGCTTCTTTCGCCCTTCGGCGGCAGCCTTCCCGGCGGGTTCCGCCGCCTGGTTCGGGCCAAACGGTACGGCAAAACGTTGAATGGATGGCGAGGTGAAGAAGAGACACAACAGGGGGGGGGGGGGGG